GCTACACCAACGCCACACTGCCACGCGGCCGCTCAGAACGGGCTTAACTATAAAAGTTAGAATATTAAAAATTCAAAATTATTATATGAAAATTAAATACATATTATATAGTAAAAAAATTTACATGAAATTATATATTTGGCCGGTGTGGTAATACCCTGATAGGCAAGCGTTAGTTATTCGGCATCAAAATTAATTCTATATTTCTTTATAAAGGATGAGAGAAATCCATTGGATAACAATGCAGACATTGCAATGTGCCATTTGTTCGAACGGGAGCGTTCAATTTGTATCAGATTTGGTTTTCATAGTTGTAATTAAACATTAATTAATTTATTGTACTGGATGGTAAAAACATTTCGATTAAATTTAATTAAGTGATCTATATTATTTTCGTGATAGTTAAGTAAAGATTACATGTAGTAATGTAAAACTTAAACCCAAGCGGCGGTTTTGGTTGGCAACTATAAGTACTACACGTTTGCTTATAGTTTAAAATAGCTAATTAAAATCATTACTGGCGACTCGCAGGTGGCGATGTTCGCCTACGTACTGCATGACAACTCCCCCACACCTAGTATCTTTTGTTTTGTGATAAAATGTTATGTTTAAATTGTAGGAGCCTGTGCTTATATCAGCACACTCTTTTATTTAGTAACTAATTTCATTATAACGAAATATTTATTTTGTTTAGTTTAAAATTACTACCGCCTTTTATGGGCTCAAACTATTTACATTATGAACTATCAAATAACCAAAAAAGGTTTAGTTCTTTTTTCAATTGTTTTGTTGCAATTCAAGTGACTGTTTAGTTTTAAGTAACGTTACTCCCGATGTGTCGATATATTTATAACGTTGGTACCTTCATTGCTTTTGGCTCTAACAAATGATTTTATGCATATCAATAAAACCATGGTCATATTTTGTTGCTTATGTGGTGAGTGGTGATCGTATTTATAAGAAATGTTACAGCTTCGTTTCCATATAGTCGTCAACATTTTAATTATAATACAGTTCACCACATGGCAACAAAATATTCATTATCATATATTTATAAATAATTTAAGTTATAAAAATGTTTTAAAACGATAATAGGCTTCGATATGTAACGTCGTTATATCGATTATGTTAATATTCGATTATTGTTGTTAAGATTTTTTTTTCTCTTTAATTATCCGTGTTCCTGATGTCACTGTACGTTACGATAATATTTTTACGTTTCCTTTCTGATCAAAAGATATTTCTTGTATGTAAGATAATTGCAACGGGAGCGCCTTTGCGCTGTCCAAATGTATGTTTTAGAATCAGAGTAAGTTGTCTTCGATGTCTGAATGTTAATCACTTCTCTAATAATGAATACGATGTTATCTCAGTGTCATTATTTATAAACTGTTAGTGGTAATAATCTAGTGATATGCCTACACCGTATTGTATTAAATAGTGGATTTGTTCGGATGAGCAGTAATGCGCGATCGAAATTTCTTCAAAATATGTCTATGTCAAGTACAATTTATGCGAATTGGTGTATTTCATTGATGTAACGATTAATTATGCATGTCATGTAGGACAGTAACCAAATTAAAAGATTGCAAATTATTTAGTGGCGGTTTATCTCATTAAAATTATGTGTAGTGTCTGTATCAATTGCATTCAGTAATGTTTAAGTTCGTTATTGTCACATTGTACCGTTGTCTGAATGAATATATAAATAGATCAAATAATGTGGTTTTATTTCAAAATTCCCTATTCCTTATCACCTTACCAACTAGAATATGACATTGTGATTTCTATTCTAACAAAAGTATCTTATTTACGTCAGAACAGTGTTATAAGAGACTAGTTTTCACTGTACTCTCCATCTGTATCAAATTTCATCGAAACACGTTTTGGCCAAAAACTCTAACAGACTTCCATCCATCTATCTAAACTTTCACATTTATAATATTAGTATTACGATACGAGTATAGTTTTTACACTTAATAAGTATTTACATATTCCTTTAGCATTCTGTTGACACTTTTGAATGAGAAATCTAGCCAAAGTAAATACGTAATATTTAACATTCTACAAAACTTGTATTGTGATTTACTATGAAAAAAAATAAGCGATCTGAAAGAGAATTTAAGGCAAGAAACTTTGTCGTACTTAATATGTAAAATCGACGTTATAGTGGAACCTCTAAGAGGCCGACTGGTAGAAGCTGGCGCAGGACAGGCGGCACTGGCGACTGGCGTTGTTTAGTATCGGAGGCCAAGGCCCACTTTGGGTCGTTGCTTGAGCGGATTAATAGAAATTAAGTCTTTCTATGGGTTATCACACACAAAACTCTCTATGAAAAAATGAAAAAAATTATTGTGATTCTGGGGTCTTATCGTTCTCCTAAGATTCAGCTTATTCTTTAGTAACTATTCATTATTACAAATTTTAGTAAGCGATATTTAAAATTACATTTGTTATAAGACGTTCATAGATGGCGCTATCCAACGGTAGTATTTTTTGTGGAAACGCCATCTGTATTCGAAAACATGAACTTCCTTCATCTTGCAGTATAATCTGGTTCAGCTATCACCTTTGCCAATACTGTCGTTCCGGACAACTGATATTTAGACTTTTCCAAGTACTAACAAATAAGAGGTTTAAAAGTGAATAAAATTACTGGTTACCGTTAAATTCGTAAATTAAAAGTGTTTCTTTTTGGGATTACCAGAATTATATTATTTATTTAGAGGTCGGCAGAGACGATGGATCTCCATTAGCTGTGGTTCTGACAACTTTCAGTACATGCCAGAAAATTGGGGTAGTAGATGACATGACAGCTACTGGCGAAAACACATGCCAACAGCTTGCATAAGTTTGCCAGCTAATTGGATAAGAATTCGGGTTAGGAAATATATGAAAAGGTGGATGATATTGTAAAATGCTAATAATGAAAATGCGTAATATGTAGAACAAAGGATTACAATAAAATAACAAGACATTGTTTTTTCGAATTTCAATTCTAATTAACATAAATTTTACAAGTCCTATATATGTGGACGTTAAACATATTGTTACCTTATTTATGAGTATTATTTTCAGGCGACACCGGTATACACAACTTATACATGCAACTCATTTCACAATAAAAGTAAAAATGCATACTTAAAAGCTAAAAATACAAATAAAACCTTTACAACTAAATATAAAAAAATCAAAATAAAACCAAAAGAAACTTGAAAACAACTTGACTTTATTTTTATTTTAATTATTACAAATAAAAAGCAATTTACGGATAAAGACAAATAAATGTAACAGATAAAAACATTGCTCCGAACTAAGGTTTTCCAAACGCATACGGTGTCATTGAATAGCTAAACGCCATTTAAATTAGCTTACATCAACTATATACTAAATGTTACACATATCTAATATTATAAAAGGGTACATTTTAATAAGATTCTACCAATGAAATATGTGGCGATTACAGTTTTATTATTAATATTCAAATGCCGAATATATAAGATAAATATGGAGATCACAAAGCGACTAACAATAGAAGTATCGGATATCTGAGTCCGTGTAAAAGTTAAAATGCCGATATATAAGAGGAAGCAACTTCATTCCTAAACGCACTTATTGCTGAATTCATTCAAATATGACTATCCTATTGATTAAAATAATAAATAAATAAATTGTGATGCATTACATTGTAAATGTGTCGATAAAATTAAGATTCTTCCTTCAATTCAATATTAAAACAATTATTGTGATGTACAAAAAGACAACATGCGATATTGTTGTTAAAAAGAACAATTTGTGATGTAAATCTTATTTTAAAAGTCTAAAAATGATTAAAAAAAATATTGCAATTGATATTAAAATCTGGCCATGCAATTATAGTCCCACAAACTTATCTGGTCCAACGTTAAAAGATACATATATCTAAAATGTCAAAAGACAAGACAATATTTACTCCATTTTAGTTACACTATTGTCCCCAGATAAGGTTATTGCACTATAAATAATTTCGTTAAAAGAACGATTACAATAAACATTACAAGTACATAAAAACTTATTGTTTACGAACACAAATGATATGAGGAAAATATTATTTATTTTAAAATTATCAATTTATGATATGAATATGATTATTACCATAACGTTGTCATCTGCATTAGGCTATAATGTACAAGTGATTTAGATAAAAAGACTAAACTATGTCCAATATTGTTAATGATTGATTGTTATTTATTTCATTCAATAATTCAGACTGATTGCATCCGAGCAGCGATTTAAGATACAAAACTTTATCAGATATAAGAAAAACTTAGAACTAAACTAAAACAATTTAATTATGGCGGCTGCAAAAAAAAAGCTCGCTCGATACGGTGGTGTGTAGTGGTACAGTAACTACAGTTTAATACATTAAATATTATATTATACCTATGCTTCAGTCTTCGTTTAATTATTCTTTATATCAGCCACAGCAGAAGACTTGCAACCGCGGGGTCACAAACAATATTGTTTGTTAGTATATACATTAACACAGTTACTTTTGGTAGGGCGCTCGCCGCCTTGCGAGACCCTCCAAGATCTTTTGCACTCGCCCAACAGTCGTGAAATCATGTTACAAATCATCGTATAAAACAATGTTGAAACATTCTTATGATACTTATTCAATTAGGTTTGAATAAGTTATTATGCGAAAAATAAAATAAATTATTACTTTTATACATTGGACAATAATTTATGGTAATGCTGTGCTGAATATATCATATTATGCTAAGAGAAAAGTGCAAGTGGAAAATTGTTTTTTTTTTTACAAGCCGTCATTAGATAATTTAAAATAGATCATATTTAAACGTGTATATGTCAAAAAAAATCAACAAACAATGAATCGATTTTAACATTTAAAAATAATAATAGACAGTACCTGAATTTATAACACACAATGTAAAAGTTAAAAAAAATTTATCGATATTGTGGATATGTAAAACATACTGTTGCTGCTAAATTGCAGCAAAGTCAATAACTATAAACAGAATACATTAAAACAAACTTATCTCCTAATACTGCTCATAGAGTTAAGCAGAAAATATTAAAAAAATATTATGATACAATTAGCCAATACAAATGTAAAATCCCCAAAAAAATAGTTTAAGACACGATAGATCTAACCGTGAGTATACATTACAGAAACACACTCACCCATTCTCGATAAACGCTGAGTTAGAGATGTTTCGGCAGTAAGACATCACGTTAGAAAGTAAATTGCTACTATTTACGTCTAATTTGTTGTAAAATATTGCTTCATTTTTCAATTCAATCAATTAGCCTTCAATTGTTTTAAAACGACAATTCAAAGAAAGTTTTCTCAATAAAGATAAAACTTATAAACTAATATGCGACACACTCGTTATTCTTTGGGATAATAAACCATTCAACAATATTACAGAAAATTTGGCGACGCGAGATAAACAATTGTGCCACCACTTCGTGCTACGGAATATGATTAGATACATTCTACAAATTACTACTAGATTTGAATATATGTAATGGTATGTAAATGGTATCGTATGAATGCAGGTAATCAGAGTACAACATGGATACACAGAAGTCCTTCAACAATGGTGTCGGGCCCGGTGGGTACATAGCGCACAACTCGAACATCCACTGGCAACATCGCAACCTACCTCACACAACGCACTAACATTCCCTCCACTTTGATTTACGATGAAAAGAATATTGGAACAGTTCCCATAGTGAAACATATCGATCACTAACAATCATTCTACAAATTTTGTTTTAAAATGTTCCTTGCAATGGAACACTTTAGATGCTTTAGAATGCTCCTTACAGTGGAACACATCACAACATTTCTTCTACGAACTTAGATGTTTTAGAACATTCCTTACAGTGGGACACATCGATTAATAACAGGGAAATTTGCGAATGGTGAGGGCTGCGAGTCGTTTAACAATGCCAGGGTGCATACAAGTTGACGTATCGGCGCATGAGGCGCCGGTTAAGCTTATGCTATTCATCACACTTCCTGCAAGCACCGGCCACGTCGAAGTCGAGGAGGAGAAGCTTAGTCTCCTCGGTGCCGTTGCGGGAGCCGACGGCGCAGATCAGTTTAGTGGCGGAGGCTCGGATGCGCCATACCACGCCGCCTGAACCACCCGAGCTCAGTTCCACCAAGTTACGGATGAACTCGCCAGTGCGCACGTCCCACAGCTTCACTGTACCGTCGTCAGATGATGTGATCACGAAACGGTTGCTCGACTGCAGGCAAGTCACCGCCGACTGGTGCTTGTTCGGTCCTGAAAAGTACCGGTTCAATACTTTATAACAGTTAGTGTGGAATTAACTAATCTGAAATCGAGTTTAATATCAAAATAGTACAAACCATATGTGAGAGGTATAGCAAATACGCTACAGTCCATTTTTTTTATTTCTAAACATACCAAATTGTAGTTAATTAAATAAGCTATAATTTGATATCTATAGATCAAACAAAAAATTGACAGGTAAATTTGACTCACCAGATACCCCACTCACCGACTATCTTTATATCGCTTTTGTGTACTATTTAGCGTTGCACATACCAGACAATGTATGCAGGCAATGACCTGAGGAGATGTCCCAGACTTTGACGGTGGAGTCAGCGTTCCCGGAGACCAGGATGTTGGAGTGCAGTTCCATGCCGGAGGTGAGCGACTGGTGGCCGGTGAGAGTATGCTTCAGTTGGCCCGTCTCCACGTCCCAAACGCGGATCGATGTGTCCAGAGAACCACTCACCACGTGGATACCGTCAAACTTGACAAACATGACTTATTTGTTAACATTGCAATATGAAAAAATAAAGAAACGTTTATACAATAAATTATTTCTGTAAAAAATACGTAAAACCCGAAAAGATATAGAAAATAAAAAAGAACTAAGCAGATTTCTAAAGTCTTGTAGATAAACTGATTGAAGAAATTTACTGGACCGGGCCCAGGACCACCCGCGGCTGTAGTGCCTCTGTTGAAAGTCTTGGAAATATATACATTTACAGTTACATCTTATGACACTCTTTGAAGTTGATACGGGCGTTAGTTAGTGCGAATTTAATTTCACTTTTACAGGATCAGATGCTTGTCGGTCTTATCAGCTTACCTGAAGACTGTACACACGGTTAGTGTGTCCTGCGAGAGTGTGAAGACAATCACCGGTGTCTGGATTCCATACTTTGACGAAGTAATCGTATGCGCCGGAGACGACAACTTTACCGTCGTACTGGACGCATCGTACCGCAGCAAGATGGCCGACGAGCACGCGAAGGCAACGGCCGTCTGGTATCGACCACACACGCAGTGTAGCGTCGCGGGAACCCGACACAACTCTGTAATAAAATACATTATTAGTAACAATATCACAAGATGTATAACCCAACTAATCACAATATTCCACACTTCAAATAAGATATTTACGTAAAAAGTCTTAAAACTACACACTGCACAAGATGAATTTTATTTCTACATTGAAATTTAAATATTACTATATAGGATGGTATGACTAAACATAACTAAACAACTAAAAACAGCAGAATAAATAAAACAACGCACAGCTTGTTTTTTTAAACAAATGAAACAATTATAGTCAGAAAAACAGGTGAATTAAATTTTAACTCATACATGATTTATGGATTATATATTCTCAAATAGATATATTCCTAAAGCATTCCTGTGTTGTGTTATTTGGTGGCGACTTACAAAAACCATGCATGTGCTAAATGTCAAAGTGAAGGGTTTACTGGAATGTAGTAACATTACTTATTCACAAAATTCCAGCAGATATAAACAATGTTATTAGCAATAACTAGTTTTTGAAAAGTTTATAAACATTGAACAGTTAACAAAACAATTAACTACCAATGTTTAGTTTTAAATAATTGAATTCTTTTTTCTGTATCATTCCAACATTTGAATATCTAAGATAACTTTTTCGCATTTGCAAAATTAGCAAGCAGCAAGTATTTAAATCGACAAGATTTCGCAAACTTTAGGTTTAGGGAGAATAAGTTATTTAAAAAAGTAAAATATTGTTTTCAAAATAAGTCAGTAAATTTTACGTCATACCATCCTATAAATTTAGTTAAATACTAGCTTACGTCCGTGAGTCCGTCCGCGTGGAATAAAAAAAAACAAAAGTGACTAGCCTATGTGTTCTTTCAGACTATGCTCTATGTCTATGCCAAATTTCATTGAGATCCGTTCAGCCGTTTAGGCTACAAACTCTAACAAACATCCATCCATCGAAACTTTCGCATTAAAATATTAGTTAGATAAGATTAGATTTATTGTAAACGCCAGCAAAACACATATACTCCGTTAGTTTTTTAACTCTTCCAACTGAAGTTCTTCTAAATGGATGTACTCTCAACCATGATCAAGCGACAAACACAAAGTGGAGAGTTAAGGTAAAAGAATAATAAGTATATTTCGCACATCAGCTCAAGTAATTTAAAGTACAGGGCATTTTCTAAACGTAATCTACGGAAACAATGTAAAAAAATAACAATACGATCAAGTACAAATGTTTCAGTGGTATTAAGGGTTAAGTGGACAGCGACATACCTATTCTGATTGAGATGCATGCAGCGTACAGTCGAGGTGTGTCCCGCAAGCACTTTAAGACATTGCCCAGTGTTGGCGTTCCATACACGCAGGGTGCGGTCGGTAGAGCCACTAATCACCAAGTCACCCACCATCTGAGACGACCAAACGCCGCCAGTATGACCAACCAGAGTATGGAGACACTGAAAATCCATACAAATATTGCTTTTAAAACCCATAATTTAATAAACAGATCAACTAACTACTCTAACTAATAGCAAGAATCCTATTCTTGAGAGAGACGATGTTAATTGCAAAGAATTCAAGCAAAAAGAGACTCTTAGCTTTAGTTTAACGTACCTCATAAAAGGCCTATTCCATTAGTAAAATTTCCATGGGTCGTGTTAAAAAATATTAACAATAGTATGTGGTTTGAGGATGAGTTTTTGTTTGTTTTCCAACCATTTAAAATTTGGCTTTTTCATTGATAAAAATGTTGTAACGCTAAGTAAAGATCTCGCGTATTTTTCAAATAATATACGGAATGAATGCAAAATATGACAAATAATCTCTCAAAAATAGTTAGTTTTATTGTTAAAAGAACTAGTTAATTGAATCTACAAGCTTTATTACCGATACTTTTGGATTCATAATATTATATATTATTATAATAAGAGATAGTAAACATATGGGTATACGCGAGTGTGAAGCGGTTGAACCATCACCAAATAAATTTCTGTAACCATCACCAAATAAATCTAAAAGTTAGTAATACTATTTTTTATAACTATCATAAACTTTCTATCCGACATTCTTGATACAAACACAAAAGCATTTAAATCACCAAACGACGTCACAGTATTCTTACACATAAAACTAATTTTAAATAAACCGTCACTTGTACATGTTTGTTTAAATAAAATATAAAAATAATTATATAAAATACAGATCACCGATCATCAACAAATAAAAAAGACAATATTTTTCTTACAGAGTTGTAACCTCTTCAAAAAACAGAACTTCATTTAATCTGTGTTGTCCTTGGAATTAAATCGCTTACTCGAACTCCTCGTTCCAAATACAACGTAGTATTTGTTACATGCAAAATGGGAGATATTCCTCCTATTCAAACACTTTCATTGCAAACAAAAATCAGTAGTGCAGGGTGGAACTGGGTTAGTTTCGATTAAGGAATAGAAAAAGTAGTTTATATTTCTGTAAATGTTTTAATTAGCATTTATGTCATGATTACTTTTAGGTAGTGCAGTGCAGAACAACTATTTCTTGAAGATCCCCGAAAATCTTGTCCGATTAAAACTTCGTATAGAAGATGGACCCCTGATGGGTCCGTTGTTGGTGCAGCCACCAGAGAAATAGACGTGAGTTATAGCCGATTAACAATTATTTTAATGTCCCAGTAAGTCCCAGTAAGTAATGTCCCACGAAAGTTTAAATAATTTAACTTCAAATACAGTTTATTCAATGTTAACTTATTAAAACTCTCGTGAGACATTATACTATATAAATTATAACACAGTAAAACTCAAGTGATAACATTCGGTGTAGGCACCGACAGTTTCGAACCCGTAGGGGGTCCTTCTTCAGGTTGAGTGATTAATCGGGTATACTCACTATCGCGTCGCGCCGGTGACATCGAATGTTACCACGTGAGTTTAGCCGTGTTTTAATTTTTTTAATGTTGTCAAGAAGTAGTAAGTAACCAATAAGTATGTTTGCGTTGCATTAACTTGATCTAAAATCATATAAATAATATAGTCATATAAAAGTGCAATTGCACGTTCCTATCGTCGGAAACGGTAATTCGACACGTACTAGGTAAACCCTATGGATCAACAGTTCACATCGCTTTGATTTTACATACGAACGTGAGTGTAATTTTGTTCATAGAATAATGAAACTTTAACTAGTTGATAGTTTTAAACTATTGTAATATTTTTAGGTTATAAATCGATATCCCAAGAGAGTAGAGTAAAATGGAGGAAGATAAATTGCTCGAGAGTTAGTAGAGGTTGGAAACGTGAGCAAAAGTGACAAAGATTACATATTGTGATTTCAAAAGTGAGAGTCATGTTAACTAATAGTCGTAGAATTGAGTAATAAACTGCCAGGCATGTAAGATGTATGGATGTATAATATGCAAGCCAGCAGGAGCGTGCCAAATAGATTTTCATATTCCAGTGTGTAAGTGCTTATTGGTGTTTTGATCATTTTTGAAGTAGTTCATTGTGAAAAATTACGTTACCGAGGATACTTCTGGGAAAATAGTTAACAAATTAAACTTAACTAATCATTGATATTCTGATGTATCTATGGCAATAGATTTTTTTTATTTTCCATAAACATAACTTATGATTATCTGTAACCATGTCTCGACACGTCATGTGCAACATAACCTAAAATTTTTAGTCTTTAAAGAAAATGTGTCTTTGATTTGACAATCATAGTTTGCAAAATTTGAAAAGGACATCATAAGAATGTTTCGTTCTGTTTATTATTTGATGACAATATTTAACGTGTTTAGTACGTTTAAAATGGCAAATTGTAGCATCAGTCGGTAATGTATTCATAGATAACATATTCAGATCTCCAAAAAAATTCAAATATAGATCCTTTTTATATGCAAAAACCCCTTGCCACAATGTTTCTGAATAATTGATTTTAGAACAGTGCGACAGATAAACGATATTTAGCATTCGAATGGCGGTCGAATTTGTAACAATTGGAATGATCTAGAAATACATCTGAATATTTTTACGGTACGTTTTTTAGCACAAAGCAATACCAAATTCTATACAAATTTATTCATCATTCCTTTACACGTGTCTATTTTGGCATTGGTAAGCTTTTTTCAGCGATCATTTAAAGATATATTATCTAGTGTGGTTTGTTGTATTGTTCAATTCATCTTATTGTACATTTGTCAGTGAGGGCAGATATTTATACCAGCCTAGATTTAGATTTTTTTTTCTAGATTCCATCCGCATGGAATTTAAAATGTATTACGTAGGCTATCTGTTCTTCCAGACTACATTATACATCTGTGACAAATTTCATCGAGATTCATTGAGCCGTTCTGCAGATATCTATTAAAAAACATCTTTCTATCCATCTAAACATTTACATTTATAATATTAGGAAGACCATAGAAGTAAAATTAAAACCTATAGCCATAATATTCTTGTAAAATCATTGGCAAAAAACTGAAGAAATAATTTCAGCTTCTTAACACAGTAGTAAAAATGTGGTAAGATTTCGTCAATTTTTATTGTTCTTAATTACTACAAAATGAGCAAAGATAAGAAAAAACAAACAAAAGATTTATTAGTACCGTAACAAAGAAATTTTAATCAGAAACAAAACAAAACAAATGTAACCAATCAACACCTTGCTTTGGACTCTTTCATATTTTTAATTATTTCTTGTCTTCATAATGCTAACACTACACGAAGACTAAAATAAAACAGTATTTGAGATACAAAGCGAAAAGTAACACAATACTTACAGTACCATAGAATTATTAAGGCAAACAAAAACTTTAAGTAACTAAGGAACTAAACAAAATAATTTTGGATTTTTTTAATTTATTTAAAGGTAACCAAGGGAAATAAAATCACAAATCTATTTTTAAACATCTCATCTAAGTGTAAGACTTAGAAGTTAAGTACTTGAGCGGATACTAAGCAACAAGTTATTTTAATTACTTGAATTAACAGAAAAAAACTTAGTCTACTAAATGGAATCAACAACTAATAACATCAGATAGATATTATAATCAAATATTACTTTAAACTGTAAAACAGTTTCAAACCCACACCCATTTTAATGTTTAAATGAAGCCATTTTTAAGCTTACAAAATTAAATTACAAAGCATATATTTCTAATAACAAAACAAATATAATATTTTTTTGTTTTAATAAACTTTTTTTTTGGTATAACAGCTAAACAAAAGTAACTAAAAGAAATGCTTTAGAATAAACTCAGAAAAGCAAAATGCTTAAAACACCTAATAATCAGTTTGTGAATTTGTTGTAATTATTAAACATATTGTTAATATTTTAGTAAAAACTATTATGTTTGATAATTACAATCAATCGTTTATCCTTACATGACTACCCTAAATGAAATATAAAAATAAAAAAGGAAGCTCAGATCTATTTTTAAAGTCAGTCGTTGCTAAACTTAACATAACGGTGGTTAGGACTTTTTAATAGATTTTAAGTACAAAAATGAAATCATTAGCGTGGGTTACCATTACGGGAACACAGGTAAGACAGTCATTGTTTTCATTGTTCTTAAAATCAGTGATAACAAACTTAATCCTATTTAGAAAATGGAAATAATAGAAGCAGTTGTTTTTGGTCCTATTAACCAGATGCTTTAAAATGACAATCTTTTTTTAACTCTATCATGTTTACGTACCTTTCCAGAATTAGCGGACCACAATTTCAAAGTGGTATCATCACTGCCGCTAAGGATACGGTTCCCTTGGAACTGGAGGCAAGTTATAACATGGTCATCATGACCTCGCATCACGATAGGGTTCAGAACAGATTTGATCATCCAGTTGTTTTCAATGATCGTCTGACTCATGTAGGTCGCCTTCCAAGGGCTCGCGAAACGAGGCACGTTGCGTGGTATCTTCTTCAGTTCGGTTATACCAGCGCGTCGGCATTTCTCTTTCCATAGCAGGTTGTCGTCAGCAAGAAATCTGCAAAGTTACTCTACTTAGCACACGTACGGCGAATTGTTAAACGAATCATTTGTTTTGCTAAACATCTTGTTTAAAAGCACCGCTACAACCCATCACACGTCAAAGTTTTAATGGATTTTAAGTATACTCTTATTGAAGACGGTGTCATACAATAAAATGTCGTTTTAATATTCGGATGGTAGTTTTCTACATATGTTTTTAGAGGTTATTCCATAAAGATTATCTTAATTTAAAACATATTAATTTCAATAAAAAAAAATAACATGTTAAATCGGTATAAGGTGTTTGTTAGTAGAAGCTTAGTTAAATTTATTAGAAAAAACAAATTTAGATTGTTACCATGGCACTTCCGGTTACTATGGTTGTTTTTCAGGTCAGATAACATATAATGCAAAAATAGGAGACTGTCGAATATATTTGATTTACATCTATTGCGACAGCGGAAAAACCCCGAATTTTAAAAACATGATATTTGCAATGTATTTATTCTGTCTGCTATCCAGGTATATGATTAGGCGAACAAAATAATTCAAATGGTGTGATCTAGGACACAATCTTAAAAAATAGAAAATCTGGTTACCTAGCCACCGCTAGACTGAAGTCATAATATATCAACAGTTCAATAAGACTCAATCAGAATTCAATTCAATAAGAATTTCTATGCAACACGAAATTGACCTAAATGACATACTGACCTCCAATAACGACAAGTCTGGGCAGCCATAAGGAGATCCTTTGGAGACAAATAGCCCAACACGGTAAGGGCGAGCTCTTTTGGCAGCAGGGAAATGAAGTCACGTTGGAATAGGGGCTCAATTGCCTTCATCATGTAGCGCACGTCACTTGCAGCACAACGGGTAACCAAAGCATCAATTGCTAAGGTCTTCTCTTTGGTGGACCATGTTTGGAATCTGAAATTAATGAATCTTATAAAAAACAGTAATAAAACTGACTAAAACCTTTAAACAATTAATAATAAAACACAACTTTCTTTCTATCTCCAACCATTTGTATGAGTTCAGTTTGGCTTAGAACAAGAATTTATGAAACAATAATTTACAAGTAAATAAGCATTTTGTAGCAGCAATAAACAGCCGTAATCATGGAATAATGAAATTAATAAGTAAACTTATTGTTATATATGTAAGAGATATAAGGTTTTTGGTCTCACCTTTGAAGCCACTGTTTGAGCTCCGGCGATGCCTGAACCTTCTGAGCTATTATATTTGGGTTGGTAGTGTTTGGGTTATAATCCAAAGTAGCTAAGGATGATATGGCACCGTCAGTGCAAAACCTCTTAACGGAGTGATGTGAAGTAGACTCATAGCGACGTTTGCACTGTAAACAATGTTACTATATTATTATGTACTATAATTTTACTATAATTATTAGTGAATATTTATTTTTTCGACCAAGATTTACTTTCTTTTTATTTAACTATTGTTACTTACCCACACTCTTTGCTCTAGATCAGGCTCGTCATCGTCGCCGTCGTCATCATCCTAAATAGTAAAATTAATAATTAAAAAAGTTACATACTTAATAAATTATGTACCAGAAGGGCGAATTTGTATTTGATAGGGTCTGAGGAAAATTTTTCTCATTCCTGCATCAGTTCAGGCATCAGATAGACTCATACAGTTTGTATTGTAACACCTAACTCGGTGTACAGTCTAAGACAACCACTTATTATTACGGTGTAAATTTAAAAAATATTTATCTCAAAATTGGTTCAACTTACTCCGTGCGGAGAGTCACAAGTGCACCGCAAGTTGCCACCTCCTATTTCGTAATCGGAATCGTCCTCGTCTTCAGAGTATTTACGCAAGAAAGCCTGAAGAAATAAAATATTACATTATGTATAAAAAATTCTACTGTATCCATAAACAATATTTTTCTACCTACATTTATACATGATTGTTGGATTTTAAATAAATCATTTTTTCATGTAAACATTAAAGGCACATTTACCTATTAGACCTATTTGTGCAAACCATATCAATAAATGAATGGAATACACGTTAGTATAGTAAGTAGGCGAAGGAGAATTTTTAAGTCTAACAGCATAACATAAGGAGGAAAGCCTGCTCTTTTAAAAACCTCAACATGCTGACCTCACTGTTAAAAGGGTAACGATGACAAAACATATTTTTCTCTCAGCCATCTGAGTATCAATTGTCTAGTTCCTCTATGAGCTTGAGTTATTAAACATTTAGCATCTTCGCTTCCCCTACTATTAGTGATCTTTCAGAATTGTAAGCAACTGTCTAAAAGAGATGTAAATTCAAAAATAGCAATTATTGAATGCAAGTCTTGACAAGATATAATTGTTAATTGTTTATCACACCAATACAATTGTGTTCAGGCAATCATTGCTTATAAGTATTGACTTGATAGATTTATATGAGAGCGTACCATTTTCCTATGAGTTGCCTCAAGTAGGTATTTCACAGATTTGCACAAATACTCCATGCAAGCGGTGAACGTATGCGAACGTATGAAAAGTTACGGAACTTAGATAAAAATGAATTGTTACTTAGTAAAATATGAAGTGTCTGGTATAATGAAAATAAAAATTACAAGGCGATTATGAAATATAGATGTGCCTATTTTATTTTTTTAATTTTTATTAGTTTCATTAACTTGTGTTAAAAATGTTTTTAAGTGGTTTTTGGTTTATTTATTTTTAAATTAAAAATAATACAAAAAAAACGTTTAGTCATTTAGGACTTCCTAGGGGACTAAATTTGTATAAAGTACCCTTTACAAAAACTAAGTCGTAAATTATACGCTCCGAGGGCAAACCGTCGCTCAACTGCCGAACCGTTCGACTGACGAAACAGAAATATCGGTTGGGTTTAAAAAGGCTTCGCAAATGCAAAACAGCCTAGTATATCACGGGTTTTTGTGCGTCATGTTTTAATTTTTCTTCTAGCGAGTGTGCGTGTTGTTTGAATTTTTCGGCCCGGCTACGTAAGGTTAGTAAGGCTTTACTTTTTTCTAATAACCGTAAATTACTTTTACAATTACCATCATAATTATCAGCCTTTTTATTGTAACAACTTGATAGATTATAAGCATAACTTTTGTTTTTTTTTACTACAATATATGAAAATTAAAACTGAGAAAAATAGTTGGGCAAAATATAATAAAAATGTACAATTTACAGTACTCACAGATGTAACAGTGTGGTGGGAATTCAGCCCGCTGCTGCCAAGGCCAAGTAATTTTTCCGCATTAGACGTTGATGGTACACTAAAACTGCTACTATCAGAACTGGAGCTTGTGGTTTGGCTAGTTTGTCCGGACGAGCTGCTAGCACTCTCCATATCGGAATTATCTGCAATATCATTATCACAGTCACCCTTGTAAAGTTTGCCCCTGGGAATGTCTTTCTTTTCAGGTATTCCACTGTTAATGAGTTTCTCCATAAAATCAACCTTCTTTGTTTCTTTGTTAGGACAGAATCCCATCATTGGATCATGATTTAAGTATTTGAGCTGTAAATCACAGTCGTCAATATCATCAGACTTACTGCATCCTGGTAGGTTTGATTCAGTTGCTGTGAAAGTTGATAATGTAGAAATTGTCTCAGAACTCGAAGCCAAACTGGAATTAATGCTTGACAAATTGCCAGAAAAATGAGGTGATGCTGTAAGTTCACCATCCATCATCAAATTCGAACAATGTTTAATAATGCGATTCTCTTCTTCGAAATCTTCTCGTTCAATGTCATCTATGCGCTCTCTGAAGCATGGATTTGTTGGTTGTTCAACATGATCTGCATTGGCACCGTTATCCTCCATTGTGTTTAGAAGTTATTGCTTGTCCAATAAATATATCACAAATTATCACTAATGGAATGTAAAAATTGCTGCTTCCATGACAAGTCCTATTCTAGTATTGCTGATAGCTGGATATTACTTATATATTCACAAAGTCCCTGCAAAATAAAAATTATTCTAAATGAAAAATTAATAAAAGAAGCAATGACTTAAGTTCACTATTCTAAACTTATAAATAACGAAAAAAAATGTTACAACATAATTACATGCCAAAACATGAAATTCAATCAATTTGAGATATTTCCTTTCGAAATTATATCTTTTAGGGTTTAGGAGAGCTATTTTACAGGAAAATTTTTCAATACAAAAGTAAATTAATAAATACAAGAAATGACAACATAATGCTCTCAAAGTCGGGTATTTTGTCTTCTACTGAGTCATCATCGGTTTACCCTTGTCACTACGAAGGGCTACATTATCTACAAATATACCAGTTAATAAAATTGGAGTATCTATCTTACGTATAAATGCGTAAGTTTAGATGGATGGATGATTGTTTCTAACCTAAATGGCTGAATGGGTTTAGATGTAATTTGGCATAGATATAGAGCATAGTTTGTAATAACACATAGGCAACTTAGTTTTTTTTATAATACCACGCGGACGGAGTCGCGGTCAAAAGCTAGTATGTAATATCGAAGAATAAACAAATAACAAAAAGTGTATATCTCAATTTTCAAGTTATTCTGTATAAGTACATTGTCTACATAGAGTTTAAAAGTTCTCAATAAATTATTATCCCGTATTTAGACCCTTGGAGGTTAAATTTGAAAAAGCTTGAATGTGGTTGTAAATTACTTGTTCTCAATAGTATATATCCTAATTTTTGAGTAATTATTTAGAAAGAATAATAACACTCCAGCTAAATGTTAGTTACTATGTTCGTCTTAGTAAATGAAACTTTAGGAAATGAATTTCAAAATAAATAAAACCCTTCAAAGTCAAATTTGAAAAAGTTTTAATGAGGTAGTTAATTATTTGTTCTCCAAAGTGTTAGGGTCATTTTTAAAGTAATTCTGTTGAAGAAATAACATCTTGCAATCGGACATTTAGGAGATGAATTTAGTAAAATCCTTTCTTAGTCAAAAAAACTATGTAGTAAGAGGAACCTCATTGCAAAATGTCATCTCTGTAAACCTATTTCTTCAGTCATTTTACTTCTTCATAAATATTGATAGAAGATTGATAGATTACAACATTCTCAATTTGTATATATGGTTTAAAAAATTGTGTATGCACATGTCCATCTACATTTTTCCATGACCATAAATAATATTGATGGATGCATACATACATTTTAAAAACCAATAGTGTATTTACAATTTCTGAATCTTTGTAAATGTATATTTATGTAGCTGACTGTATTTATGTTAGTATTTAATAAGAAATCAACAATCAAATGTGCAAGTAAAAATACAGCAAGCAGTATCATTATGTTTAACATTTTGATAAAAACATCATATTCTAAACTTTGCATCATAATAATAATGTTGACTGGCATCTGCTTCTCATTTTGTCGCAATATTTGTTAGGAAACTTACCAAAAATAAAAATTAGAAGCTATTTAGAAGTTAAAAAGTTAAAATTAAAAAGAAGTCTTTGTTGATCCTAGTTCAAAAGTATGGTATAAGATTAAAATTCCGCAGACTTAGAATTTCATAGTAATGTTTAATAGTTTTTTTCTTTTACAAAAAAATACAACTACATTTATAAGATGTGTACAATTGTAAAGCATTCTTTTAAAAATAACTGATTACATAATGTAAACAATACAAATGATAACATAGTTTTGTATTCGCCAATGTGAATACAAAACCACCCAATGGTGGCATCGTTACGAAAGTTAGTAACTGAGATCATCTCTTCTCAGAAACAATGAAATGTAATCCCATTGACAAAGATACATGCTTACGGCAGACAAGAAAAGCAAAACGGCTTTTTGTTCTATAGAGAACATATATATAATATTTATAACATATATATAACACATACACATAGATGTATGTGAAGCTATATTTGCCACTTTTTTAGGATGGATGGATAAATGTGACATTAGTCAAAATAAAGTTAATGTACAGAAATGCATAACATTAGTTTGAATAAAAATCTTAATTCAAGAACAAGCCTTGTTAATTAAGGTTACCTTTTTAACTAAGGTTAAACAGCAACTAATACATAATTAAAAACATGACTTAAGACAAATTTATCTTACTGATATTATAAATGCGAAAGTTTAGATGTATAGATGGATGTTTGTTAGAGTTTGTAGTGTAAACGGTTGAATGGATCTCAATGAAATTTGGCATAGACATAGAAGATAGTCTGGAAGAACACATAGGCTACTCACTTTTATTTATTTTTTTCATTTCATACATACGGAGTCGCGGGCGAAAGCTAGTTATTTATATTTATTTATTTTAATACTTTACATTTTAATTTAATTAATTACATATTTATTTAAAACATAACTATGTTAGAGTAAAAAAGTAAAAAACAAAATAAAGTGAACAAAAACTGTGCACACTTCTATATTCTTATGAATTTATTAATACATCAAATGACTATGTATTTGATGATAATTAAATTACTGAAGGACATGTTTCTGGTAAAATAGAAGTTTGTCAAGAATATAAAAGTTAATAATAAATATTATCTTTTTGAAGTCATCACTTCACAACTCATCAGTTGTAAGATGTAGAAGTGTATTTTTATTTACTTTCTTGTAACAAATTATAAATCATGTCTAATGAAAATAAAAACATAAGAAAAATCACTGCACATTCAATTGATACTTAAAAGATAGATTATCTTAAAATATGAATTATATATAAAATCGATAAAAACAAACCTATTTCTATAAGAAAGTAATATATTTAAACTAGCATGCAAAATTACCTTTTGTTGAGAAAAATGAAAGGCACTAGAAATCAGAATAGAATACAAGCAACTTGTACTTTTAAGATCTTTATAACTAGACTGCAGTGGATAGACATTCAATCTAACACTGGCTGTACCAAGGTCATCCTAATTATATGAAGAAGACTTTATTGAAAAATGACACTCCGTGCATATACGAAACGTAGAGATGTACTCACAAATCATGCTCATCCTATTGAATACGGGAAGTTCGGCCATGTGTAGACTAACTATAAAAACCCGCCTTCGACATAAAGGACTATGAGCGTGAGATTTTTTTTATATGACACAGGATTCACATGCATCCGTCAGTTCGTCACAAAAAATACGTAAAACAACTTCTCTGCCCAAATTACATGACATGTGCGCACAAAAATCTACCATTTACAATTATTGACCCAATGGACATCAGGTAAGTTGCATGCGCAGAAATGTCCTCTCTTGGAAATATATCTGTCTAGGATATTGGAAGGATATGGTGTAAAAACATAAAAAGTGGAATGAAACTAATTACGTGCCACACGTCGGCTTCTATTTTTAAATCTCTTACCTTAATTTCTCCAGCAATTGTATGATATTAGTCACCTTAAAATAATTACTAAAACATATTAAAACGTTATTGAAGATGCATTGGAAGAATATTGCAATGTGCACTTCTTAATTTCACAGCAAACACAATGGTCAGAAAGCATAGCCAATAGCGACCATAGTCTATAGTTTGAAGAATAATGTTGCAAGTCTAAAAAATAATTTTAAGAACTTTAGGTGAATCATACATTTAGCTAAAAAAACAAACATTATTGATTAACTGAATCAGAACGTTTAGTAATTGTGATTGTAGTAAAATTTATTTAAAATAATATTGTTATTGATAAAATGTGTTACCCTATGCATGTGACGAAATTTGTGTTGAGGCAACGCTCGTGTCAAAGACAAGTCAACAAGTTGACAAGTGACAAGTAAAGTGATGTTTCGATTCCACAATCACAATATGTCCAGACATATCGATACTGTAAGCTCGCTAACAGTATCAAGTTGAACGAATCGCTTATTTATTTGATTCATTTAACAATTTTAATATCTCCCTTGTCTTAAATCCAAAGACATTCAACGTAATATATGGTTGAGCTGGCTAAATCAATAGGCTCTTTTGCTTAAAGCAGTATTAAAGTTGTCAATTAATAATGGTACACACATTAATTTCTAATATTCTCAGGTTTCCAGTTTGGAAATGACAGCTTTTTCTTCGCCTGACTTAATCTTATACTTCTTACTTATGTTAGAAATGTCTAAGTTTGGATGGATGGATGAGTGTAGATGTAGAACATAGTCTGGAAGAACACACAAACTACTCACTTTTGTTTTATTTTATAATTCCACGCGGACGTAGTCGCAGGCGAAAGCTGGTATAGCTATGATTCCCAATTTAACAATGTGTTTTATTCCCAGAAATTGTTAAAATTCCTAGAATATGTGTGTATTTAATAATCTTTGAAACAACATTTTATAGCTTCGGAATTGTGTACTTATACAATTCCTAGTTACCACACATTTTCGGAAACATAACTATGTGTTGTTTCAAAGTTAATTTTCAAATTGATCTTAATAAGAATGAATTACATTATTGTATGAGGGTTCTGTAAGCTTTGTATCGGTCAAAACTGTCAACAGGAGGGACTCTGTCGTCACAAAGCACAAACCGGTATCACACTTTGCGGCGGACAAGTGTACAACAAATAACTGAATGTCGAGTTTAATTTATGGAGTTCGTTGGAAATTGTAACAGAGAGATGTCTCTAACAGAATACGTTGTCCAAAATTGAATTACAACTACAATTTGAATATTAATGCCATATTCTATTTTGACGTAATAAATATAATTTTGATAAAAGGAAAAAGTGAAGCCATTTACCTAGTTCTGTATTTCTTTAGAATCAAAAGTCTCTTAAATGCCACGAGTTTTACAAGTTCACTACGACGAAGCTAATAGCATTGCTTAAGTCTTGTAAAACTTTATAAAACGGATGTTGTGGTGTGGAAAGCGCCTTTGCTGAACAATTTACTAATTAGATTGAAGTAAATGAAATGTTTGACATTTTATGCTGCTATTTTGAAATTCTATGTCACGGCATCATGATCATAGGAACTATATGATAATATTTTTTTTATCTAGAAATACCTTTAGTATTTTGATATCTATACTACAATTTAATAGAGCGTAAACACGGTGGCTCAGTGGTTAAGGCACTTGACTTGTTATCTACAGGTCTTGGGTTCGAATCCCGCCATGTACTAATGTGATTTTCAATTTTTTGAATTTTCATATGTACATTTCATATGAAGAAATTCAAAGATTTGTGTGAAGTCAACCAACCCGCAATGGCCACCGTGGTTGACTATGGCCTAGTCACCCCTTATCAGGGTAGGCTTCGAGCCCTTCGGTGGGGACATGTAGTGAGCTGGTGATGAAAACACACACTTCTTTGTTATAATACATAAGCAATTACAGCATATATATATATATATATATATATAT